TAGTGTTTGCACCACCTGATTTGTCAGTTTGCATTCCTCTGTGTAACTCCAACATTGCACAGATGCCCCATGACCTGTCAGTCATGCTGGTGCAACCATCATTACAGGTATCCTAACCTAATCGTTAGTAACAGTTGTTATAATATAAATATTACATAGGTGATTATCCAAATTTTCACTGTTGATAGGATTTAAACACCCAATCTACCACTTGGAGAGTTGACAACCTGATCACTTCACTAGGTCACCACACTCTTTTATATATTTTTATTATTCAGTTTATTTGCCTATTCATATAAAGATGTTTTCTGGGCTTTTATCAATCTGATAGCATTGTCAAAAGTTTGTACTATCTTTTTACTCAGAAATTTCAAGTGAAATTCTGTTTTCTCAGTTCTTTAGTCTTCTGCACCTGATGGTCTTATTATAGGTTTGTATTGAAGTCTTATACAATATTAGTTATTAATATTCCTCTATATACATATAATATTACACTTTATATAAATGCTCTAAGCTTTTAATGATAATAGAACCTGACTTGTTGTATCTGAATTATGGCTGCAAAAGGCCAACTAATCAATAGAAGACAGTTTTCATAACATAGTTTAATTTTTAAATTTTATTATAAATGAAATTTGAACTTTAGAGCTGTCACTTAGAGAATAACAATTTAACCACTATACAAGAATCAATATTCTTTAAAAATATATATTTATTTTATTTTTTTTATTAAAATAGATTTTGCTTTTATCTTTATTATAATTTGTATTAAGAATTCACAGAGGATTTCTTTAACCAAAAGTTGAGTTTATAAATTGTTTATAAGAATAAGACTCAAACTATATATATACTAAGACTACCTAATTTAATCTAATTTATCTACAACCTAAACCTACTAAAGTGGTTAAATTTTACCTAGATTTTGTTAATTAAAATATTGCTAATTTAATAGTTTATTATATTATTAGTTGGGATGCTATATTTAATCTTTCAGATATTCAAATAAATTTTTTTTTTTTTACTATTTTTATAAGTAGGCAAATATTGTGTTCATCTTCTATATGTTGCTGGTCTGTTAAGCCACAAATACAGTTATAAGTATATAGTGATTTAGAATAGTATATATGTTCTGTATTGTTTGAATTATTATATATATTTGTTTAAGTACATGCAGGTTAAGTAGATATATTATGTTGGTGTTTCCAATTAACTAATTTTGTATAGTATAGTTTCTATATTTAGTTGTATATATTATCTGTTAGTTTTATTAAAAATTTAATAGTGATATTAGTTACAATTTAGTTGGAATCTGTATATTCTCAGATTGTTTAAATAAGAAGTTAAGAGATGTATTATTGTAAAGTTGTATAAATATTTGTGTTATTTGAGATATAGTTATTAGAAGTTAAACATTGATGATTGAACAGTTTATTATATATTCTTGTAGTTTAGTGTTTGTGATTTCTAGTTTGTTAGAATTAAAGAATTGTTGTATAGTATTGTTGATTGTAGAACTTAAGTTTGATGTATTGAGACAAGTTAACTAGTGTTATTATCTTTTGTATATATTACAAGAAATACAATTATTATTATTAAATATTGCTGAATATAATAAATAAAGATAAAATAGTGTTAGTAGTATATTGAGCATTATTTTGATTTTAAAAGCTTTGTTTTAATATACAGTCAACTCTCTTGAAACTAAACCTGTTTATACTGAAATCAGGTTATAATGAACCAGAATTAGCAGAACAGATTTTTCTATAATAATTTAAGCTGATTATACCGAACTAAAATATTAAATTTCTTTATATCACATCTGAACTTTTTTTTATCAGCCAGAAACTATGTGTACATATTTCTATATAACAAACTATCATGTGACTCATATATTAAAATCATGTGGTCGATTTATTAATTTATTACAAAATTGATATAAAAAATTGAAGCTACTTTTTTACAATACTGTAAATAAAAATTTACTAAAAATCATTTTTTGTGACTTAGTAAAGGATCCTGTATTATTTTACCAACAATCATTTCACCAATAGCTCATTTAACCAACATCGCGCTAGGCAAAATTTAATAAAAAGATAATATCAGCTAATCCTATATAATGTTGGCTAAATAAACTTTCGTGAGTTAATTGAAACCATATTGCATATCAAATATTGTGCTGTTGCTATATCATATATCATATCAATAAGCAGAAATATCTAAAAGTATATAAATCAAGAAACTTACCCATTGTACTTTAAGAACAATCTGTAATATAAAGAAATAGTGAAAAAATCTCTAAAAGCCCCAAAACAGGATAGTTAGTTAAGTAAAAGTAATATAAAAATAACAACAGAAATGTGTAATAGAACTTATCTTTTATGATCTTCAAAAGTTGAATCAAAAGTTCCCATAATTTATATTCGCCAAACTAAATAGAATGCATTGAGATTTATTTATTGCATTGCCTTTCTTGATGTCTTGATACATTTATTATTCTAATTTGTCTCTTTAAAACAATAATTGCGATTGAAAAAAAGAATTCCAAAAAGATAGTGCTAGCTATATCAAAAAAAAAATTGTAATAAGGGTGCTGACAGATAAGAGCTTAATATAGTATCCCTTCCCAACAGTCCTTCAGGACAATGACAAGTTCTAAAATAATTAATATATATTATTTATTATTTTAGAACTTATTATTGTTCTGAAGGGCCATTGGGAAGAGATGCTATATTGATCTCTTATCTGTTAGCATCCTGATTATTATTTCTATTGTTATAATTTCTATTTATATATTATAACATAATAAGATTATAGATGAGTGGCAAAATTCAAAAAATAAAATAAAATAAAACAATAACTAAGATCAGATTAGTCTCACTATAATAGTGTGAGTTAACAATAAAAATTTTAATATTACTACCTTCCTGGAATAATAGCTGATTTCACAGACATAAATGCCTATAAAATTATATGATTAACTATTGAAATGTGCTATTCAGTAAATTGCAGTTTTACTTTTGGCTAGTGTAGTAATTAATCCTGACTTGATAATTCTGCTTTTTTTTTTTTTTGAATAATAAAAGTAAGGATACAATATGACCACTCTATTTTCAGTATATGGCATAAGTTGTTTAACTAGAAATGGCTTTGCATGTTGCACTATCCATATGCATATGTATAATTATACAGTATGCCATATTAAGATAATAATGTTATCTGTATAAGTTCATAAATTTGTTAATTAGATTATTAGAAATTCTTTGTTGTATTTTATATAAGTATCTGGTAATTACAAGTTATTTGTACTTTATCTTGGCATTATGTCAACAAAAAAATAGGTAATTCTTTCTGCAGCACAAAAACATGATATTTGTCAAGCAAAAAAAATAAATTCAAATATTAAAAATATAGATCTTGCAAGTAAGTATCAGGTTGAAAAGTCAACAATAACAGATATTCTGAAGGAAAAAGAATTACAATTGAAAAGGAAGGTGAGATAAAAAAATTTCGCGAGCCAAAGTGGCCAAAGATTGAGAAAGCTCTTGAACTTTGGATAGATAATGCATTTAATAGTAGTCAAGATATTGATGGTCATATTCTTAAGAACAAAGCAAAGTTTTTTGCAGACCATTTTCTTATTGATGATTTTTACTATTCTGATAGTTGGCTTACTAGTTTTAAAAAATGTCACAGGCTTTGCCAATTTAAAAAAGAGAGTGAATCAGCAAGTGCCCCTCCTATAGAACAAATAGAAAATGACCAACTTGCCTTATAAGAATTGCTCCAATCCTATGACCTTGAAGACATTTGAAATGCTGATGAAACTGGACTTTACTGGAAAATGAGACCTTCCCATACTTTGGCTCGTTCAAGATTAGCAGAGTACAAAAAAGAAAAGTCACGTATATCAATATTATATGCTGCAAATGCAAGTGGAACTGAAAAAATAAAACTTGCCTTTATTCATACTTATAAAACACCATGTTCCTTATAAAGTCTTAATTATACTAACCTTTCCGTTTACTATTACTGGAACAAAAAGGCTTGGATGCAAGTTAATATTTTTAATAATTTCCTCCTTAAGCTTAATGATCAAATGAAACTAAAAAATTGAAAAATTATACTTTTAATCAATAATGCCCCAGTACATATTATTCTTGATGAAACTAAGACAAAATTAGACTATTTGCGAGTAGAATTTCTTCCAGCAAATACAACCTCAATTCTCCAACCCTGCAATGCAGGAATTATCTATTCTTTTAAGTGCCACTACAAAAGTCTTTTTGTTCAAAACTGTATTAATGCATATGATAATATGCAAAATGGAGTAGTAAATAAAATAGTCCCATACAATATTTATGATGCCATAATGAATGCAGCTGAAGCGTGGTCTATGGTATCACCAAATGCTATTAAAAATTGCTGGCAAAAAACTGGTATTCTTCCATATGATGGCCCCCAAGAACTTATTGAACTTGATCAAGACAGGTAATTAGTAATAAAAAAATTAGAGGTGTGAAAGTAATGCTATAACTTGTTATAGTTATTAACTCATTATAATTACAAGTTACAGCATTACATTCACACCTCTATATTTTTAAAAGCTTATACTTATTAATGTAAATTTGTAAAACTTAAAATATGCACTTGTTAATTTTTGACTTTTGATATATCAATAATTATCACTGTATCATAAAACATTTTTACCAAATAAAAAAAATTTTTGAAATCTTTTAGCGTTATGGATGATAAATCAAAACTCACAGAACCAATTGGCTGCTTATTAACAGATGATTCTTTTACTGCATATGAATATATCCATGCTGAGGATGATGAAGTTAAGGGTGAGCTTACTGATGAAGAAATTTTGGAGATTGTTAAAAGTGAAAATAAGGAGGAAAGTGAGGAAGAAAAAGAAGAATTTATTGAACAAGAAAAAGTTAGCTACATGAAAGCAGAACTTTGTGTGAACAAAACACTAAGGTTTTTATATGAACAAGATCCAGAGTTTAGAGATGTCGACGAAAAAGTAAAGATTTTAAGAAAATTATACAAACAGATTCAGTTTAATATTGTAAAAAATCTCAAACAAGTTGATCTCCATCACTATTTTCAGAGTTCCAAATAGATGGTTTTTTTTTTTATAGTTATAAAATTGTTTAATACTGTATAGCATATATATGTACACATGTATATATATATGTACATACATTATAGAAGTTGAATTTACCCTGCTTGGATATGATAAGCAATCAGTGTGATACAGTTTATAAAATTTTTAAATTTATTAAATTTATTAATAAATTTCGTTAAATTCATTAAATAAAATAGATTTATATATATAAGTAGCCAATATTTACCTTAAATAAAGTAACCTTGGAGTTAAAATTTCGAAAAGCATAAGGTAGAAGTATCTAAGTAGTAATAGACCCCTTTTGTACTCTGTAATAATGCTTTGCATAAAATAATTGTAATTGTTCATTTCCATAACCTGCTATTAAAGTAAATAGTTAGTGTTAATAAGTAAAAAAAAAAGATCGTATTAGCAATCAAATCCTTTTTATAAAAAATATAGTAATTACATCAGTAACCACATCTATACTACATAATTCGATTCTGCGATTTCAGTATCCTTCAATGCTGAAATAAGTCACCTAATTTGAAATAAGCAGCATACCTAAAATAAAGCAAAAATATAAAAAAATATAGCAAAATCATTAGCATACAGCAAATATTAAGTGTAAGAAAAGTAAAAAGTGATACTTATCCAAGTACTGGTAGTAAAGCTGCAAGGCCTAAAGTCTCTAAATCTAACTACACCTCAATCAAAGCCTACCAATTTGAGATTTTTGGTCTTATTAGATATTATTTTAGTAGAATTAAGTTGTATATTGTACTATATATTAAGTAATATTAAAACTAGGTTATATTTTTACAATATGAGTTTATCGATTTGTATTGTATTGTGCATATTGATATATGCTTTTTATAGAGTTAATATTTATTATTATATACAGTACTATATATAAGATTCTTGATTATATAGATATAATTTTATTGGTTAGCTGTATATACTGAACAGTTTGGTATAGAGAGCAAACTGTATAAAGTGAACTTACTTTATACTGAACAAAATCTTCCAAAACATGCAGTTCAGTATAAAGAAAGTCGACTGTAGTTTAAAATTTGTATATAATAATAATCTTTTATTATTATTGAGATAAGACCATGTTGCATTTCAGTTAATTTGTATAGCTATTAGTATAATGTTTTCTATATAGTGTTGTAATGATCACATTGCTATATTTTGGGCATTACAAATATTTTTAATAGATTTTCTTGTTGGTTATTTGAATGTAAGCTTATTGTATTGTAAATAGTATAATAATTTATATATATTGCTATATCTAAATTCTATGAATGTAAATAATTTTAGTTTTTTGCTAATTTATTTGCTATATTGTTAAAAATGTTTATTGCTATATGCAGCTACTTTTTGAAAATTGACATCAATTTGGTAAGTTTTAATTAGATTTAATAAAGTGTGTTATATTGGCCAATAATTATAAGAATATTATTTGTTTAGTGTTGGTAATAATTTCAAAAGTTTGTTACTGTAGATATTATAGATTAAGAGTCTATAAAAATTGTAATCTGGCTAAATTTAGGACAAATACTAATTACATATAAAATAGAATAAGTGTAACTTTGTATGAAGAAGGCCAAAACTTAATTTCTGCTAAATAGCTTTGTATAATTGTATCATTTTGAACTTGAACCCAACCAATTTCTATATTATTATATATTATTCAGATGTAATATGTGTTACTAATTTATCAGTATAGAAGATTAATTATAAATAGTTCGTATTATGTTATGCAATTTGTTGCAGAATAATTATTATTAAATATTTCAAGTATCAAGTTAATATAAATTGTAATTATAGAAGATATAGGTATTGTAATAAAGTGTCTTAATGTGATGAGTATAGTAAGTCTAGTAGGTTAGAATGTAGATTAAGCTTTTAAATAAAGGGGTTGGGCCCTATAGCTTAACGGTAAAGCTGCTAACCCCCCACAGACTAGGTCAACAGTTCAAGTCGGGCTG